TCCATATTAGTTACAGTTCTGCTGCTCGTAGCAACCACTACTGACAAAGTTCCATATTAGTTACAGTTCTGTTGCTAGAAGTGACAACTACTGACAAAGCTCCATATTAGTTACAGTTCTGTTGCTAGTAGCAACCACTACTGACAAAGCTCCATATTAGTTACAGTTCTGTTGCTCGTAGCAACCACTACTGACAAAGTTCCATATTAGTTACAGTTCTGTTGCTAGTAGCAACCACTACTGACAAAGTTCCATATTAGTTACAGTTCTGTCGTTCAAAGGATGCTGTAGTAGAAAATAAAGTTTTGTCTCAGTTAATTATAATCTTGATATCCAGGCTATAATAGCTGCTTGATACTCCATAGAGGAGTGTATGTGTGTGTTAGCTATGTTAGCTACATTGCTAATATTTCACTTTCCCTGCCTCTGGTGCATAGGACTCCTTAACCTTGGGAGCTATGGCAACAGAACTGGCCAAGTAAGGTCAAGTATTCTGACCTCGAGGCCTCTTTTAGGCCTTCTGCTCACCCGACTGTTACCTTAAGCCTAACTATCATCCATTTCTTTTACTGACCAAGGCTAAAGGCTGAAACACACAACAAATTTCCTCACACCAAACAGCAAATTTGCTAATTAGCAAATTACATTATCCAACTGCTTCTTAAGGCTGACTGGTTAATTTTGTCTTTGACATGTAAATCTGTGGAATGGCCCTTTAATACAGGATAACATGACAAACTTTATCGGCGTGTGTGCCACAGGACACCTGTAAAGTTTTAACAGTACACCCGGCCTTCAGATACCTTCACCTGATTATTCATAATCTCCTGAGAGGCTCTGACTGGATGATCATGTTTTGAATATAGTGTTTCCGCGCTGCCTCTCACAGTACAGGAACGATCAGATAACGACAATAGGAGAGAGGAGACTTGAGGCTGTCACTCAAGAAACACGTGCATGTTTAAACGTGTGAGCTAACAGAAGTTGCTGAGAAGAGAGGAAACTTGGCAGACAGGTGTACAGTCAGAGTTTCTTATAATCTAAGTGGATGGAGATTACAGTCACATGTCTTTGTTTGTAGCTATGAAGAGTGTGTGTGTGTGTGTGTGTGTGTGTGTGTAAGACAGGGTCAGTTTCAGGTGTTTGTAATGAACCCCAATAAGTCATGTCTGCCACCTGAGCCTGCTGTTGTCTGGCACGGCTGATGGACCAAAAAGAAAAGAGGCAACGTGGAGCCGCTGTTCTTTATGCTTGGTCAACCTTTACTCCGAGCTGCAACTCAAACCTGAGAAATCTCTCGGATGTCCTGTTAAATCAAGTACGAACTTGCAAAAGATATACCACCCAATACAAATAAGACTTCACCTCTATCTATGCATTAAGTGGCTTCATCATTGGATGTAAAATAAGCGACTATACTGGGTTCACAGGGAGGATAATTCAAACATTTCAGCTGGGATCTCCTTCAAGATAAAATCAGATGCTTTTTATCCCTCAGCAGGTGGGAGTCCAGCGTGGGGGAGCTTTAGATGAAGCTGTGCGTGTCTGTCTGTCAAACATGATGCCTCAGATCTCAGAGGACACAGTGCTGGCTTGCTTTTGATGAAATTCAGGGGAGGGGGTGTTAATGCATTCAGTCTGTTTTGGTGTTTTACACTGATCTGATTACACTAAGGAAGTTGTTAAAAATTAAAAACCTTAAAAGGCTGTAATTGCTTTTCCACCAGCTCCACGTGAAGAAACTGAGGGATGAGGAATGTAAGAGTCTGGCTTGTTCTTAGAGGATGAAATCAAAACAGATACAAGCTTCCAAATGTTATTGCATCAACATCGTAGTTGGTCATAGGTAGTTGGGTCGGAAATTTATCACATCCTCTGCTTTAAAACCTTCGAG